GGTTACTAGGTTGGCCTTATCTTATGAGGTTGATACTAGTGGTATGGTTCCAATGCCTATCCGGGAGATGGATACTACCACTCTTTGGAAGATGTGGATGTTGGTTCGGGGAGTGGGGCAGCAGTGGAGGATTCTGGAGGACGATATCGTAGATCCGATCTAGCATGTGGAGCTGTAGGACATCCCTGAGCCTGCCTTCGTGAGGCGGCATAGGCGTAGGTATGAGGATCCTGACCAGCCGGAGCCGACTCTACGTGACATGATGCAGTGTCTGGTTGTTGCACAGGAGGAGCGTCGATGTATTATGGCTTCGATCGTTGGGGCGATGCGGCATCTGGGGATGGACCATCCACCTTTTCCTAGGGCGGGTCCTGCTTGTCCGCCCCCATCTCAGCCACAGGGCATCGATCCTGATGGTGCGGGCACTTCAGGAACTTATCTCAGAGATACTGATGATAATACTGACGAGGGCACGGAGGACCAGGAGGCTGAGTATGAGATTAGCGATGAGTAGGTTGAGGTTTTTGGGTTTAATACTTTGTATTTTGATACTTACGATGTATTTTGATACACTTTATGTATGATGTTTGTATTTGTATATATAACTTTTGTTTTATCATTTATTTATCCCTAATTCAGATGATGTATTGGTTCAGTCAAGACTAAACATAGTTGATCAGGCTACATTTAGGAATGACTCAACCTCTACGTACTAAATCTCCTGGATTTTCATCTCGTGGATTGCATTTTAGATTTGTATACATTATTCAAGATTGGCGATTATTATTTTTTTGTACTTTTAGACTAAGTAAGGATCGGCCAGGTAGGAAAAGTCAATGGGCAGGACCATTTTGGCGTATAGATGTTCTAAAATCCAATAACCCAAGTCGACAGTTCCAGCCTAGGCACCTCTCCAGTACATAGTCTAGAGTAAATAATAGTAATATTTTTATTTATAGGTTTGCGGACAAACATAGTCGGAGTATATGTCGTAAGCTATAGTCGTAATTCCTAAAGAAATACTAATTCGCTATAGCAACTAGCTCTGATACCAATCTGTCACACCCTCTCCAACAGATGGTGGAAAATGTCGAGTGGTGATGGTATATAGATTTCCCAAATCACAGAACGCCAATCACAATTTATCTTCACTAAACAAAAATCTACAAGTCTTCATGCTGATAATCCCTTCATGATTTAATTTCTACTACATCCAATGAACACATGCGATTTTTGAAAACTTCAACTTGATGTTGGTGACTTCACAGGTTTTGAGGTAAAAGTATAATAAACTATTTTGAAAACTTTTTATAAATATTTAATTTCCTAGATTCCTAGTGTCCTATGTTTTATTATATCACCTCTTTATCTTCTAACCCTATCTTATTGACTTCTAGGATGTATTATTAATCCTAACTTACTATCTTTATAGGATATCTAACGATCCTATCTTATTGTCTTTTAGGATATTTTATTAATCCTAATTTACTATCTTTATAGGATTTTTAAATAACCCTAACGCATTTTTATCTACCATTCTAAGGCATCCTTAATGGTAGTTGTATCTCTAATGTTTTTGTAATGTATTAACATGAGCCCCCATAATCGATGATGTTTGACTAATAATTTGCGCCGCCACGACACTTCATCGGACGTCGAATAGTGAATAATAAGAAACTTATCATGTCGGTATTGTAGCTAGCAATTGTAGGTGGGGGTGTCAATCCCCATATATATCTATACATATCTTCTAGATCTCGCAAGATTAACGATTATAGGTACCGGGGAATGCCAAATTTAATGAAGGCCTTTGGATGAATATTAACAGCTCACTAACGCATTAACCTTAGGTATTTATCTTTTATCTTTTATCTTTTATCTTTTATATTTTATCTTTCCTAGGGATTTCTTATAACTATCACAATATAAATCTTTTATCTTATATTTGATAATTGTAACTTTTGATCTCATAATTATTTTGTATATTTAAGTATTCATATGTATACCCTAATTGTGGTTATTTGAAAACAAGATATTTGGGCAGAGTAACAATTAGGTACGGTGCATAGCCCTACATTTGACCAACATAACTTCTAGGTACTACGTTATCATAGGGATTTGGTCATTATAACATCTAGGTATTATCTCTTCTTAGACTATCAGGCATCATAACCCTTAGGCATAATATCATAGCTTACAACTAGGCATAGTATCTACAGCTACATTATCCTAAGGCTTTAAGCTTCATAAAAATATTCTATATTTATTGATATAAATATATTTTGATAAAACCATTTGATAAGCATGTATCCCCCCCCCCACCCTCGTAAAACATTTTAAATAGTAAAATAGGGGTTGTGTACTCACTCTAGTAGCGTATTCTGAAGTATCCGAGCAATTGCATCCGAAGGTTCGCGCCATCGAGAGGATCTATGAAACAGCTTGAGAGGTATATAGAGAGAGTGTTTGGAAGAGTGTTTGGGATGAGAAAATCAGAAAGTGAGCACCTCTATTTATAGTGGTTGTGCGCACGACACACTTCATGCGCGACGTGCACTCGCTTAGTGGAGCCTTCCAAAGCCTGCCACGTGCCACACTTCTGATGGTCCACGTCTCCCTAATCTTCGACGAATCTAGGTGTCAGGCCTGCACGACGGGCATGGCGCACACTTGGCATGCACCCTTAAATCTTTTATAAAAATTCATATCTTCCTTATATAAATCTTTATTATTACCCTCTTTATATATTTATGTAGCTATCTACTAGTACTACAACTTTCGTTAAGGTCGTGTAGCCAAATTTTGACTTTCATTTTTAACTCGTATTTTATATTTTCCTAAAACTCGTATCTCCTTCATATGAACTCCGTTTGTGACCTTTTTCCTTTCAAAGTCCTTATCTCTCAGAGTACTATGATTTTCCTTTCAGTGACGTTTATAGTGTTATTAACGCGATTGGTTTTTATAGTTATAAAATCATAACTCCTCCGATCGGAGTCAGATTTTTGCAACGCTTGTATCCTTGGAATCACTTTATTGTGTACTTTCCAAATACACCGACCATTATTAAAAGTTATATAACTCTTTATTCATTCATTTTTTGACCCTATTATTATCATTTATCATATTTTCCTTTAATATGAAAAGTTCCATCGTTATCATCGGTTGATGCTAATATTTAGTGACAACTGGTGACGGGAAATTACCAATTGTTATAAATGATGAGATGGCAGTTTCTTATTAAACCTTTCTTAATATGAGGATGGGAGTGGGTTGCAAGATGGCTATTCTTATAACAGATTGGATGGGCATATAATGTGTATCTTTGGTGGTTTCTCTCTCTACTTATTTCGGGCTTTTCAAATTCAAACTAAAACTGTTTGCATTCCATTGTTCATATAAATACCCAAATTCATATACATTACCTTCTTTACGCAATCAAACAATTATCAAGCAATTTTTCTGCAAATTCAAGTGTTTTTTGTCTTCATTCTCGATCAATGACTAATGGCTTCCTCTACTGATCAAGTTTCATTCATGGATCAAACTGCCTCATCGATTATTCTCACAGTGAAGCAAAATAAAAACATGATTGTTGATTTAGATTCTTAGAAATACTCCACTCCTATTCAATTTTTGATCGAATGTCTCAATCATTCAGTGCTGAAGAAAGCCCTCACTCATCATGAAGAAGTTCTCTTATATGCACTGATATTGGCTTACTCGGCTGCAAGTTATAATAATTCGAAAGATGTGATGAGTTTTGATATTTAAGGTTATAAGACGAAGATTAATAAACTAAATTTATGCATGTTGCTAAGGTTATCTACTGGGAAGCTTATTCGAATCCAGATTTGGTTCCATCTGCGAACATGCTTAAGGTTTTTCATCAGATGGGCTACAATCCTTTTTTGCTTGTTTTATTCAAGTTCAAGAAGTTATGTTTACCGGCAGTTTGGAAAGCCATGTCCACTATCTTTTTCAAGTTCTTTTCTGAAAGAACATCTGGCTAAGACAATGCGAGCAGATTTTTTCATACTTTGATGTATGAGCTGTACACTGGTGACAAGATTGACCTTCGTTAGATGCATTGGGCTCAGTTTGTTACATACTTTGCTATGAAAGACTCATAAATTTTGTGTCTCGTTTTTTGTCTATAGTGGTCAAACATGCTCATGACCATTATCAAGTTCCACAGATGACAAATATATGAATGACGGTAATTCCCAAGATGAATATTGCAACCTTCATAACTACCGGTGATGCCAATTATCATCATATTGGTTCTATTATGGAGTTCATTATTGTATGGGTGCCTCAAAACAACAAAATTATCAAAATCTACAAGCAGGTCCCTAAATTTGGTGAAAGGAGTATTTTGATTTTGTTGTAAGTTGTTATTGATGTTGGACATGTACAAAGAAGAACGGGGGTTAGGCGAAAAGCAAAAGCAATAGAAGAGGTTATCCCTACGAAGCCTAAGTCCTAATGGAAGTTGAAAAAGAAGACTCAAGTTTATATTGCTGATGAGGTGTCAGAGGAGCATACTATCAGTGAGAATCGTCAGACCAACCAAAGACAACAAAGCAAGCTACCATAACTGCGATATCTACCTAAACTGTGAATCTTGAATCTTTGTAGATTCCTAAGGTATCAAGTGTTCCTACAACAACTACTACTTCTCTCACAACTCCCATTGAGAATGATATTTTTCACAATATCATAAATGAACCTACCGTTAGTCTTTCTCAATCACAATCACCTGTTCCACCACTACCACCTCTACAAACAACATCGCCAATTCCATCTACTACTTTACAAATTCCAATTACACCAATTCATACACCTCGAACCACATTACCAATCTCAACCACTCATATCATCAAAAAATTCAATTGTTCCTCCCACGACTCTACCATCCACTTCTCAACGAACAACTTCAATTGTTCCTCCCACAACTCCTGTTACATTAGAGCCACTACAAACAAATATTATGCAGAATGATGATAATCAAATATGATGGTGATGATGAATTTGCTATAGAAGATGAACTAGAGGGTACAAATTCATTTGAAGGATTCATTGCACCAATTTCAGCATCGAGTCTTGTTGATGATGAAAGTGTTTTGGATGAAGAAAATGAAAATAATTCAATGATGAAAAGAGATTACAATGCTCTAAGCAAGAAGATGAACATGTTGGTGCGACACTCTGAAATTTTCTCTACTTGTAAATTTGAACATATGATGACAGTTCATGAATCTATGGTGAAGACCTTGTTGTTTGAAAGCAAAATATTATTTGAAGAGCATGAAAAGTTAGTAACTGCTACCAATGTGAAGATGGATGTTGCACTGAATGATGTAAAAAAGATTCACACTTTAATTTTCAATGATAATACAATGCACAACTCTACAATATCTAACTCCATCAATACCTTGGTTTCACATTATGATATTGAAGCAAAAATCTCAGATATCAATGCAACTGAAAATGAGAATATCAGTTTGCTCAAAGCATAATTAAAAACTATGAAAACATAACTACTGATAAAGGATGATGAACTGCTTCTTCTCAAGGATAGAAATTTTAAGATAAATCAAAGGCTTGTCAAGATTGTTGAAAATAAATATGCTCCCGAGCTTGATATTCAGAAGATTGCCGAGCTTGAAGGAAGATTGTTACTGGTGAACAATCTATGGAAAAACGACTGGAAAGTCTAACTCCAGTTATTCCTAATATTGCTTCAAGTTTTGGTACTGTGAAGATTGTTTCTAATACTGAAGTGGATCCTAATGTGTTGAAACTAAAAAGGAGGCTCATATTGAAGAGATGAAGAAGTGGAAAGTGTTAAACAACTATAAATTGAGTTAGATCAGCAAGAGGCTAAGAAAAGATAGAAAGAGGAAATAGATGCAACTTTCAAGGTATTATGACCTAAATGGACGGTTAACAAAATCTCAAACGAAGAAATCAAGAATGTGGAGAAGTATTGGCTAAATCCAAGATCCTCTTTCGCAGTAGAAAATAAGAGTGATTGTCAATTAGATTTTCCTATGACTATGAAGGCTTTCGTGTTCAAAAGCTTTCCAAACATTGTTGGTGTTCCTTTGACAAATAACACTATGAACAAAAAGCTTTTCAAGTTTTATGCTTTGCTGTCTAGGCTACAATATGAAGTTTGGAGCTTGAAGAAGATATTTTATATTCAAGAATGTGAGGCTGAAGAAATGGAAAATGGTTTTGTGAACTTCAAGTTTAAGGCTTTGCAAGGAAACAACAATGAAGAATTTAGCTTGTCCTTTGCTGATTTACCATAAATGAATCCACATGATTGGATTAATGTTGTTGAACATCTTCTCAAAATATAAAACAAAGTTTGTAGTTTAGATTCAACACTTGAATAATATGACCTGATCATACTATATGGAGCTATGCAAGATGGATGTTGAAATGGCCAGTGTTTTGTAGAAGAAAACAATTATTGGGCCATGTCCAGAACCTACAAATGTTGAAGAATTATGAGATGGATTTATATAGAAGGAGCCATGGGGAGTAGTTTACAAGGTACATGAAAATACAGATGTAAAGAATTGCATTATGTTCTTACAAGACAAACATTGTTACAGATCTGGTATACTTACAAAAGCTAAAATGTAAGATGAATTTGAAGAATGATATCAAGTGTGTATCTGATATGTTACGGTGGTGGATCACAGTTCCGGTCGTACTTCTTGGAATTATTCCTCAGATGTTTGAAGAAGTCAAGTAAAGACAACTTTCGCGACTCAACACAAAGGGGGGGGGATGGTTAGGTCTCATATTCTGTAGGTGTTGTGTTTGAGTCTGTATGCGGAAGGTTTCACAGTTTTGTATTATAATATCTTCAGCTTGTATATGCAAATTGATATTTTGGTTTCGTAGTTTTTGCGCTAGGCTTTGCAGCTTTTGTTAGTTAGTTTTGATAGGTTGTCTTAGCTTATGTGCCATGACCTCGTTGGTCATTTCCTAATCGACTCCCTTGTTATGTCCTATATATAAGGGATGTTAGTTAGATAGTGAAAGTATCTTTTGAGAGGTTCTTATGTAACTTTGTAATTGAGCTTCTTACTCTCTAATCAAAATCCATATCATATTTACTTATGTGTGTTCATTCAATTTCTAGTATTCAAACATGATTTCAATCTTCTATAATCTGATCGATCCTACATGTACAAGCATAATCAGCATAATAAATTAGATAATGAAACTCACTATAAATTAGATAATATAACCTTTCTGAAATCCAACAACTAGGCCAACATGTCTATCCTAAACACCATTCTCGTAAGTAGATCAATCAATATAATAACTGAGATTATTGATTAATCTCATACTTGGGTTCATAACAAAGACAATGGGTATATTCTATATCAAGTTATACTTAGGCGAAAATATAAAGTACTCGATTGACGAATGACACGGAAAACGACGAGCGTAACTTAATCCTAAATCCTTCTTTTGTTGGTTCCTTCCAACGCTTTAGCGCTTCGCTAACAACACTCGAGAACGAGAATCAAATCATGAGAGAGAGAGAGAGAGATGAGAGAGGAACGAGTGAGGATTAAATGAGTTTGAAGGCCTATTTATATGGAAATGTTTTTTACTGGCGCATCATGTCTACCTCTACATGTCGAATTCTGCCTGCTATGTGCCTTTCTCCTGTTGCCACGTGTCCTTGAGTGTGACACGTCGACGCGCTGCAGATGCCTATTACTCGCTGCATTTTTACTATTTTGGTCTTATGTTCAAAGGGCATTATTTTGCTCATACGAACTCGGATTTTGACAAACTTTATATACACGGTACCGTCTCTGAGTGAACTACAACTTTTATTTAGATCCGTTTGGCTAAAAAGTAATATATTTTCACGTTGAACTTTATAAAAAAAAACGTTTAGTGAAAATGAGCCATTACAAAACCATATTCAAGATAAACTAGTTATTTTTTAATTAAAAAATATACTTATTTTCTTAAAATTTCCATATTTTACTTTGGTAAGCTTCTCTTAAATTTATTGTAACTAAAGATATATTCTAAGGCTACCCGGTATCGAGCACCTTTCACACGTAGAAGCTTATGTGCATGGTGTTTCCATCGATGAATACCATCCTGATTCCTAGTAGTTGTGGAGTGGAGTTGTGGTGGTGATAGAACTTTCACTAAAAGCTTCTCTTTATATCTTTCTATCTCTTTTTTTAGCACTTTTTTTTTATTATCTTTTTCTCTCTAGTGAACATTATTTTCATAACCTTGTAAAATTGTAATGATTTAATGTTTGATATAAAATATTTATGAAATGGTTTAATAACGAGGTTACTTGCTTTTTCGCCCGTAAGATACCCGATAGCCTAACACGACAAACCAAAATGAAAGGGAAATGAAATTGTCGGTTTCTTTATAAGCACAGGAAACACAAACCATTCATCCCCAATTTCGATAACTCCACTGTTTCTCTTTTCTCAAATCAAATCAAAAACCTTCAAAAAGATGGGAGCACTTTCTCGATTCATAGCTCATGTCTACACCCTTTTCTTAGTATTCTTCACTGTCCTCTTCCTGGAGCTCGTAATCTTGGTTCGCTCAGTCGCCGGAAGTATTGGTTACACGACGGCAGCCGATGACCACCCAATGACCACCGCCCAGTACCTCAAATTGATTGACGAAAAAAACCCAGCGAGTCGGTACGAAACCGCCGGATTAGAACGTAAAGACTGTTCGGTTTGCCTTTCTGTATTCGACGACGGCGATGAAATCAGGAGATTGAAATGCAAGCACACGTTCCACAAGAGTTGTGTTGATAAGTGGCTGGAGCAAGATAGAGCGACATGTCCGATTTGCCGGAGTTTGGTGTTGCCGGAGGCGATCGTGGTTAAATACAGTCAACGGCATCAGATTCCACTGCATCGCCGCCGCAGGGAGTTTTACGGTGGTAGCGATGAGGAGCTCATACTCTTGTTGACTTCTTTACATGGTAATTATATGCGTAGATTCATGTAATTAGTTTGTATTTCTAACTTTAGTAATTATAAAATTAATTAGATTACATATTCTTAGTGACTATCAAATTGGAAATCCTTTTTAAAGGGTTTCATTCCGTGAAATTATGCAAATTAATAATTTATATCTAACAATAATTACAAATTGATCGAGGTTGGCTGCCTAACTACGACTGAATGCTGTAATTAATTTTGTGTCACATTTTTTATTTTTCCAACTTTTTCTTTGACATAATTTCTTCTTCAATTGATGCCTATTAATTATATAAAACACAAACATCTGGTGGAGGTTTTCTGGGTTGATGAGGAGAATGTAACTAAATTTATATCATATTTGTGGTTGTGACTTGTGAGTCAGTCTGTCAATATTTGCTTTTGGGGATCAATTATGCCAAATACATTGGCCTTTGTTGAGTATTCTCTCAAAAAGATTTTGATGTTGGATGTCTTTTGCTACTATTGGTCTTGTTTGTTATGTTCAAACTTGGTGATTGAAGATTAAAGTGACTCATGTGGAGACTGATAATTATTGTAAAGTACATTGCCTTTAGGTTTTACAAAAGACCGATTTTTCTGGTTCTATTTGGTCTTTCCTTATCTAATTAAAAACTTAAAAAATATGTATATATAAACAAAAGAGAAAAACAGAACCGCACGGCAATATATAAACGATGTCTTTTTATGTGTAAAAATTGAAATAAGGAATGTGTTTACAGTTTTACATGACTGTTAAGATAATAAAATTCGTTTAAAGACTATTACATGGTTTTCTTGTTTGAATTGAAGTAAACAAAACTTTAACAAGAATCTTATCCGGGTTTGTCAATTAAGAAATGAGTTGAATACAACGGATCAATATACATTTGCATTTCTTTCATAATTGAAAACTTTATATATTCCTTTTTAGGTAAACTAAAAAAAAAGGAGTTATATTTAACCTAACTCACATGGACTTGAACATGAGAATATTGGTTCAAAGCCAAACAATAGTTACCAATTCAAGTACAACAATAGTTACCAATTCTAACTACAACTTTTGTGCTAACTTAAACTTAAAAATCTTATTATTATTATTATATTCTTTTTTAAATTAGATTCGTAAAAGAGAATTGATATTTTCAACCTAGGTTTATAAACATCGTTGACCAATCTAAAATACAACTTCATATATTTTATGAAAACCATTGCAAAACGTGTGTATTACTTTTGGAGTTATAATTTAAAAAATGAATAGAAGGGGAATCGAAGACGGCCTTCTTCATTTAAAGAAAATTGTCATAAAGGTTCTCTTCATCTAAATCCACTTTGAACATCACTTTTATATATTTTTCGATTTATACATATTTGGTCACTGAGTTTTTTTTTCATCAACATTTACCCCTTCAACTTGTTAAACTATATACATTCAGTCCTTATGACCGGTTACTACAGGTTAGCCGGGAAAAATCACTTAATAGGGTAATATATTTTTCATTTTGTACACATTTAGTCCTTAATATTTTTGTACATATTTAGTCCTTAACATTTTTTTTTCAAAATAAGTCTTTTTTTGTACTCATTCAGTACTTATGAATGATTTCTTTAGATGTTTTTCACGACATCTTATGTGGGACAATCATTCATGAGGTGTTTGGGGTTGTTGATGCTTATGTCCAACGTGATCTCGACTACTTGGTTGCGTAGGTCTTGTGGTTTGGCTTAGGTCTTCTATTCTGAACGTCGTAACTTATTTATAGGATATCAGATTTTGACGATCTTTATATCCATGTGTTAATTTTTTCATTAAGATTACTCCCGTTAAAATGTAATATATATTTTTACTTACGATTTTATAAAAAAAACATTCATAAAAAACATATGAACAGGAGAGGACGCAGGAATACATAGTAGGTGTTGCCAAAATAAGATAGGTGTTGCTGATACATGAAAAATAGGTATAAACGAAAAGAAATCAAAAACATTTCCACTGCAGACAGAAAAAATAGATGTTGCCGGTGCAACACTGAGACCAGGCTAAATCCGCCCCTGCATATGGATATAAAAATTGTAAGTAAAAATATATTATTTTTTAATGACAGTAATCTAAATGAAAATTGTAGTAGACTAAAATATGAACGCATGGATATAAAGTTCGTTTGCATGGATATAAAGATCGTTAAAATTCGATATCATATGAAGAAGTTATGACGTTCAGAACACATGACCTAAACAATCAAGTAGTGGAGATCGCGATGGACATAAGTATCAAAAGGCTCAAACACCTCGTTAATGAATGTCCCACGTAAGATTTCGTAAGCAAAACCTAAAGAAATCATTCATAAGTACTGAATGAGTACAAAAACAAAAATGACTTATTTTGCAAAAAAAAAAATATATATTTATTAAGAACTAAATGTATAAAAAAATATTAAGGACTAAATGTGTACAAAATGAAACATATATTACCTATTAAGTCTTTTTTACCGGCTAACCTGGAGTAGCCGGTCATAAGGACCGAATGTATACAGTTTAACAAGTTCAATGGGTAAATGTGGACGCAAAAAAAAACCCAGCGACCAAATGTGTACAAATTGAAAACTACATTACCCTTTTAAGTCATTATCCTTATATATATATATATATATATATATATATATATATATATATATATATATATATATATATATATATATATATATATATATATATATTTCATTTGTGACCATGCTAATTTTGTGAGACCGTGAGACGCAATCTAAAAATAATTTTAAAATTCAAAATAAAAGGAAAAATCCGATTTTTTTTAATTATTATTTTCGTCATTTTATTTACCTAAAAAAAAGTTACCTTTTTTTTTTTGAAAAATACGGGAAATATTCTAATAGAATATTACACTGTAAATATTCTAATCTGATTTTGGAATGTTAGAATTTTCTAGTATTCTACTAGATTTGTCAGATATATAAAATATTCTAATATTCTATTAGAATATGTAAAAAACGGTAATTTTTTAAAAAAAAAATTTTGGAAAATATAAATGATGAAAATAATATTCTAAAAAGATCAAAATTTTTTAATTATTTTGCATTTTAAAAATGTTTTTTTATCTACAAAATGAGTGGCTATGATTGCGTCTCACGGTCTCACAAAATTGGACCGTCTCACATGAACCTAACCCTATATATATATATATATATATATATATATATATATATATATATATATATATATATCCTCTATTATAATAAAACGGTACATTTTTTGCCATGTGGCATCTCCTAGCCTTTCTAAGCCAAAGTAAAGTACCAAATATATCACTCACACATATTACACGGTTGAAGATTTGATTTTTGGAATTTGAATTTCAAATCTTATGCATAAATTGGTTACTTTCCATGTTAATTCTTCAAAATCTTCGCCCCAAATCGCAGTACCTTGAATCACTTTGGATTTGATTTCAAAATCATTAATGCTACGTTTGGTAGGATGTAATCTTGGAATGAATTAAATTAGTTAATACGATGGAATGAAAAAACATATGTTTGGTTGGCAACGGATAAAGAATGATTCATTCAAGAAGGAATGGCATTCCTCCAAGAAGCGTGTTTTCTATTCCATGGAACCCCTAGCTTTTTTTTCATTCCTTTCTTACACGGAATGATAAGTGCCAATTTTACCCTCCATCGATTTTATTTTCAGTTCATAAAAATCTCAAGAACATCATCATTATCATCCAGATCCAAACAAAATCATTGGTCCATTCAAATTACTACAGCATAATCACTTTCAGTAAAGGAGATTTTCCATCCATCGATTTCCTATTGATACACTCTTCATGGTTTATCACTTCCAGTTGGCACCGGTGTATTTCTTTTTTTTCTTCCTTTTTGTCTTCTATCTCTACATCACATCCCAATATATATATTTGAGTTTGTTTTGCATACAACTGACTATTTTAAATTTGCCCCTCATCTGTTTCAGATAGAGTTTTACCGCCTATTAGGTGTCTGATGAAATGGCACTGTGAATTCCTTTTGGGATTGAATGATGATGTATAGTTGTTTTACTCAATTTTTGATTGATTTAGTCCTTTTATGCATGTTTTACTTGAAAAAATAATAAATTTGTTGAATCTGACAAGAAATGTTGAGTTTTTTTATGCTTTATTATAGTATTTGATACAATTAATCCATCATTTGTTTAAAAATGTTTGCCAAATTAGTGTGTAGGAACTATTAAGAGGCATGAAGGGAACAAAACTCAAGATTTTGAAGGCTTATATAAAGAGGGAGAGAGAATAATGTCAAGAACAATCAAAATTCATAGCCAGGTAACTTTTGTTTGTTTCTATACCAATTTCACCCTATCAATTGATGTTTCCTATTCTGAATTTTCTTTTAATAGAATGAGAGTTATAAGCCGAAATTATAAGGTTGCTTGATTTGGGGTCAATTGTTTATGTCAAGGATCCAAGCATGTATGTTTTTTTATTGTTTGAACTGTTTATATAAATTAGTTCCTATTGATCATCTGTGTATAACTGTTAATTACAATCTGATTGGTTTCTTTTAACTTTTAGATATATAGCCTTTGCAAGTGATTTTGAAACCGCTTTAACAAGATTAAGTACTTTTTTATAAACTTAATGTTGACCAGTTTCTTTTATCTTTTGAAATGGACCTCTACAACTTTTTGGTCCCAGTTTAACCAAGGCCACGTTGGACCACACATTTGAATTCTCTTAGAAGACATGGAACTTTGATTATGATCTCTGGATTCATAATTGTCTGACTGATTTTTTTTTATGTATTGTAATCATGTTAGTTGTTTCTATGTTATAAATTATTATCTTTCTCCTTTTACAATGTGTATAGGTTGTATTCTCTGATCAGTGCTGCTATAATAAACAAACCAATTAAAATAAGTTTCTGTTTTGCAATCTAAGAATCTGATTATGGAAGTTCAATTTGGCAGGATGATGGTAATCAGGGTTAAGACATGTTTTTTTGTGCACAATGTAACAATGGAAAGTAAAGCTAGACATGTTTTTGTGCATAGTGAAGGAAAGTCATTAGTGGTTCATATTGGATATGTTTTCCCTAATTGATTTGTGCATATGCATGTTTTAAACTGAAATAAATGTATACTTCAAATGAAAAATATATATTCTTCTTAATTTCCAGGAATTGTATTAATTAATGGGAAACCCGGTGATGGTATGAAGAAGGAAGAGGTTTTTGCTTTGAACATCTACATTAGCAACTCCATTCAAGGCAAAGTATTCAGCCATTTCCAGTAAGCAGACGTGGCATGGTTGACAAAGACTAATGGAGTACCTATATCATCAGAGGCATAAACCAACTGTGACTTGATTATCAAAAAATTATGTTTCTCTAATTTTTTTTTCTTTAAATTTACACGTTTATCTTTTATTTGATACCATTTGGTCGAATACACGCAAGAACATTGTCACACCCCGCTAAAGCGGAAATACAGGGCGTGGCAGTACAAAGGGTTTCATAGCAAAAGATAAAGACAACACCAACCATAGTATTAAAAAAAAGCATTACAAATTTACAATGGGTTTGAACAACTTTTAAAAGAAATTACGATGTTAATTGAAATACAACACATGCGAATGCTCCTAAAAGTGATGTGTCCCTAAGTGCCACTTACTCGATGATTCCTGAAAAAGCATGTAAAACGAGCGTCAACTATAAAAATAGTTGGTGAGTACTCACATGTTTATAACATAATATAGTTTGAAATCATGATAATCAGAATATTGATAACAGTTTCCATAAACAATGTTGATTTCTAAAATAGGTAAATAAGTTTTCATGAATAGAAGTTCGTTGCTAAAGCGGGTAATAAAGTTTCCATAAATAGAAATATATTGCAAAAATGAGTAAATAAGTTTGCATGGGTTGTCATCATGAGAGATAAAGTATGTTGCCCAAATGAGATGCAACGTTCATATTCTCATGGGAAATAAAGTTTCCATAAATAGAAATATATTGCAAAAATGAGTAAATAAGTTTGCATAAACAAAGTTCGTTGTCATCATGAGAGATAAAGTATGTTGCCCAAATGAGATGCAACGTTCATATTCTCATGGGAAATAAAGTTTCCATAAATAGAAATATATTGCAAAAATGAGTAAATAAGTTTGCATAAACAAAGTTCGTTGTCATCATGAGAGATAAAGTATGTTGTCTAAATGAGATGCAACGTTGACATTCTCATGGGAAATAAAGTTTCCATAAATAGAAATATATTGCAAAAATGAGTAAATAAGTTTGCATAAACAAAGTTCGTTGTCATCATGAGAGATAAAGTATGTTGCCCAAATGAGATGCAACGTTCATATTCTCATGGGAAATAAAGTTTCCATAAATAGAAATATATTGCAAAAATGAGTAAATAAGTTTGCATAAACAAAGTTCGTTGTCATCATGAGAGATAAAGTATGTTGCCCAAATGAGATGCAACGTTGACATTCTCATGGGAAATAAAGTTTCCATAAATAGAAATATATTGCAAAAATGAGTAAATAAGTTTGCATAAACAAAGTTCGTTGTCATCATGAGAGATAAAGTATGTTGCCCAAATGAGATGCAACTTTCATATTCTCATGCGAAATAAAGTTTGTTGCTAAAACGAGATAGAAGGTTCGTATGTGCATAATGATTATATGATGAGTTCACAACCCAAGCCTATGGACCGAGGGTGCCCTCTTCTATGTTTATCGCTAACATAGGGAAATATGGTAAAATGCACTCAAGCAAATCGTGCGAGTGAGGAGTTGTCTACCTCCTAATAGCGCTATCCATAATGACCATGGGCTCAAATGAGTTAATGAGTTGTGTGAACTGATTCCAGAGACTTAAACACGATAAGGCCTCATGAGTTAACAATAGCATACACATACACAACAAAATATAGCAACCAAGTTTGATACAAGTCAAATTAAATACAACGAACATAAATAGTTGAGGACATGCTTTTCCACCCCAAAACATTTAAAACCGAAAATAGGGGGAGTTGTGAATACTCACAATACATTGAGATGATGCACATTGTGCCTTGAGCTACGTTCCACTCGTACCACTATCGATTCCTACAATAATGGTATACGCTAGTGAGTCTCTATGTCAAAATCTAATGCTAATATACTAAATTCTACATATAGAGAAATGTCAAAATTTTGTTCTAATATTGGTTTTATATTAAATGGGTAACCTTTTTTCTGAAATGGTGATATTTTATAACTCATGTGATTAAGATAACTTTGGATATTATTTTCCAGATTTTTGTAATATTAATTGGGGGTATTTCAATACATTTAAAGGTGTTTCAAACTCCTAAAATCCAAAAATATTATCAAACAGTTTCCAAATTTCATCAAATTTTACATTTTCGTTCCAATTATAGTAGAGGTCTTCCATAAATTTTTCCCTTGAATTTTTGATGTGATTAACTATTTTTCCAAATTTTTAAGCCTTCATAACAATATAAATTCGTGAAAAATAGTATCCAGATGATACAAATTCCCAAACGTTTTATAATACTGCCATTAAACATACTTAAGCTGGGAAAAATATAAAAATGAGTTTCTAAACAGTTTAACCCGATTTTATGATTTTTTTTGCATTTATTCTAACAAAAATGGAAATAAATACAAGACAGTTTCCAAAATTGCCCAATTTTTTTGTAACACTGTTATTATATATATAAAAGCTGTGAAAAATATAAAAATATTGTTCAATTAGTTTTGCTATTTTTCTTTGTTTTATCCTCTTGAATAATCATTAATTGGTGAATAATTATCAAACAGTTAAAGTAAATTATCAAAATTTTTGTAAACTTCATTTACAGTGTACATAATCTGGGAAATATACCAATGGTGATTTTTTATATAATGTAATCCGGTTTTTTGGATTCAAGTGTATTTAATCTTAGAAAATAGAAGAAAAATATCATACTGAATAGAAAATCATCCAAATTTTTATCTAGAGTTCTAATATATTATAAGATCTTATGGTAAATTTTCATGAACTTTGGATGAGTAGAACTATATTCCCCATTATTAGTCCATTATAAATACAAAAATCGGGGAAAAATAGGTATGCAATATGAAAAATTCTGAAAATATTTTTCTGAGTATTCCACATGAGGTTGGATCTGCGAAAAATCTTATATAGCCTTTTCACATTCCCTAAAGTGGTTTTATGATTTATCTTAATTAAACAAAAATAAATTTCAAAACCATACCAAACAGTAACAACAATCAATGAAACTCACTGAGATGTCATCATTTACTTTAGGGGTCATCCATGAATTTACCTAGGATTTATAGACTTCAGAAAGCATTTTATATGAATTATTGCCCTATTTTCTTGCAATAATTATAATAATTCGAGAAAAATGAATTATTTTCTGAACATTTTTAGAACTTCTCATTTTGTTGGTGGAATTCTGGGAAAAATCGGTTTTGATCAGAAAAGAAGTTTTAGATATTTATTTGGGAATAAATCCTTTATGAGCCTATTTGAAAGCTTTTAACAACAAACTTTGATAGGGACGGACGCAGGAATACATGGTAGGTGTTCCCGGGATGAATAGGTGTTGCCGATACACAAAAAATAGGTAGAAAAAACTGAAAAATCAAAAAAAAAATTCACTACGGCCAGAAAAGTTAGGGGTTGTCGGTGCCACACCGGGAACCCCTTATAACCGTCCTTGAACTTTGATCATCTAGCATCTAAGTTTGAAGATCATCACATGGATGTTTTTTTGAAGGCCATTCATGAGTTTGAAATGGTCAAAAATCGTTTTGGAAAGAAAACTTAGGTTCATATTGTGATTTCTCCATGAAAACTAGTATCAAAATGGGTTATTTTGAGTTTGACATAGATTTGGGTCATGGGACTTCACCATTTGCAACATGCATGTTGCTTTTGGGTGAAATCCTACCACCATCATCATCAAAACTGAAGTTCATGAACATGCACACAAATTTTCTAAGAGAAAGGTGTAGAAGAAGAAGGAAATGCAAGAAAATCCATGAAAACTTGAAGGAAAATGAAGGAAAATCGTGTTCTACCTTAATGAACACCACTAGATGATGAATATTTTGAGTATCTTGAGTGTTCTTGGACTTATTTTCTAGAAATTTTCGTGGTTCATAGAGAGACGAAGAGAGAAAATGTGTGGGGGGTTTTAGGGAGAAGAAAAGAGAGAAAAGAGAGATTTTATCTCTCTGGATAGCTCATCTTCCTCGTCATCTCTTTCGGGTTATACACAACCAAAATCGGCCACCAAGCTACAGAAACGTATCCCAAATTATGAATAATGGTATGGATAAATCTCTCCCACAAATTGTTCTTCTAAGTTCGTCATTTCTAGAGAGAAGTATAAGAGAAGTTTTTAGAGAGAGAAGTGGGAGGTGGAGTGTGTGAAAGAGTGAAAGTGATTATGTGTGTGTTGGGAAGAGTATGGCCGACTTTAGGTGAGAGAGGAGGGACATTATCTCCTCTTTTATTCATTTAAATCATTTCCCTCTTATTTTTATAAACCTCTTTCCCAATTTTTATAAAATATACATTTTAAATAAGAATTTGATTATGACACTTGGGTTTTGGGCTTATAGAATAAGATTATATATTAATGATTTAAATTTTATATTCCATTGATTATATTTTCCAGAATTTAATTATATTAAATTGATATTATGTGGTTCATAACAAAATTTATGGAGTTTTGGGTGTTAAAATGTAACATCCTGTTTCGGATCGTCCGTGATTAGGGTTCGTGGGCTGCAAACCGGGCATGAGGAGGTCTCGGGTTTGCAACGAGTTGCTAGAAGCGTAGGGCATCTCGTCACCTTTCTGTAGGTATGAGGTTCATGGGAATCAGGGTTATATCGAGGAAGCGATGGAAGTTTGAAGTTGTGGCAGGATAAGTCCCTTATTTGAGAAAGGTGGCAGCTGAGTACGCTGGGCGTACATATGTGTACGCTTAGCGTACTCATGTGCATGATTTTTAAGCGGAGCCACCTAGTACGCTGGGTGTACTAGGCACAGAGTGGAAACCCTAACTTTGGATGTGTCCCTATATAAAGAATGAGATGGCCTCATTCCTAGCCACCATCCTCAGTCAATAAACCCTCTAAAACCCTAATCTTTATTTCATG